TAACAAAAAAAAAAAAAATTCATTGTGGTCCCCATAGTCAATGATGCAGGGACTGGGTACAAACCTACTTTAGCACTATACATACAGAAGTAAGTGGTTACCCTCATTCTCGTCCAGCATTCTCACTCATGAAAAACCTTAAAATTTACCACCACACCAAGTAATGGCCCCCTGTAAGCCATGAAAAATGATACTGCAGAAATCTTCTTAAATCTAAAATTAATTACTTTATAATCAACGAAGGATTGGATTTCTTAACTGAGATCATTCAAGTGATCATAAACAAAATATAGTATAAATTATACAACATAGTAGGCCAGTAAAATATAAAAGCAATATGATAAACTGATACTGAATTTATAGAGCGCAAAGCAACTTCAGCCCTATATAATGTAGATGCACGTATTCCTGTGCTATCCTAAAAGCCTTTATAGCCTCCATACTTTGTGTAGGTTTTGACTGACTATGAAAGGCTCTAAGATACCAACTCCTTGACAGAAAGAAAATGTTGCCCAAAAATTCAATAGGTATAATTGATAATATAGAAGATCATATTTTGGGTTGCGTGAAAGGAGTAAGGAAAATTAATGAAAATAACACTAGCTTTAGATTAGGAATAGGAAGACAGAACAAACATTTTAAAAATGTATCTAGATCCTGATAAGTACTTGGTATATATAGGCTTCTTCACACCTATAGCCAAAAGAGACCCTAATTAAAAGGTACTTATTCAGAAAGAATTTTTAGCTATGGATTATTATTAAACTCTTTTATGCATATTGTATTTCTATCTAGTCAAGTAGTCATACATATTTCACTTCATGCTTATTTTATCCATGAATTGTTGTTATTATATTCTGTACATTTTTATTCTGCAGTTTTGGGAGTCTGATACATGAATATACTTCTTGTTTAGTAAAGATAGAAATTAAAATACTGTATGGTTTTCTTGAGGGTGGTCAGTGGTGCTATTGGCGCTCCAAAATAGTACTCTAGCGCTACAGAGCTATTGTCAATAAAGTAAAATTCCCAAAAAGCCCTTGTTCAGGTATTAATCGATTTTTTTTTTTTTTTTTTTTGCAAGACCTTTCACGGCTCTCTTTTCCTCTCTCTTCTTCTCTCCATCCTTCATTTCAAATCTCTGGAAAATAAATTTTTGGATCAACAATCTGATTCCTGTCTAAGTCTCTAATCTTTTCTAGTTTTAAAGAGCATACCAAAGATTTTGCAACCTTTTGCCTCGTTGAAAATATTCAACGGTTCAAATCTTGTAACTTTATTTTCATTGATTTTTTTTTTTTTTTTTGAAATTTTGTTAAATAAATGGAATTCTAAACCATTTTTTCTGCTTTTCAGTTCTATGATGATAGATTAATATTAGGCTACAGAAAAGATTTTTAAAAAAATTCTAAAATTTTGCACTTGCATCTTTGTCAAGTTTAGTCTTTCCACCACTTCACACTAACAAACCAGTCATTGATAAGTAAAATTTCACATTCCTTTTATTTATTTATTTAAAAAAAAAAAAAAAAAGATAGAGAGAAACAGGGATCGATACAAGAGAAACCAGACGTTGATCGAAGGACAAAAAAAATAAAAGTTACAGAGGTTTCTGACGAAGGATGAGGATAGGAAAGAGGAAGAGACAAGTGACAAATCTTGGTAGAATTCTATTAAAGCTTAAACAAGGAGGTTTTTTACATTTTACTTTATTGAGAATGGTAATGGAGCGCTAGAGTACTATTTTGGAGCACCAATATCACTACCCTTATCTCAAAAGTGGTATTTTATTAGTGTTATCATAGAACTGTTCCTTGAATGAACAGTTATCAATATATATAATTAAGAACTAAAAGGAATCAAAAGTTATTTTAAAAGATAACCATTGAGAATACTAATGATAATAAAGGGGGAAACATTTGTGGAAGAGAAATATAATCCATTTCCAACCACAACTAATGATAATTCTCTCAAGGGAAAAACTTCCTAACTTAAACTTGTGCAAATTGAAGTAAAATATGAGACACTCACAACAATATTAATATATATATATATATATATATATATATATATATATATATATATATATATATATATATAAAAAATAAAGAAAGAGCCTTGGTTATGGATGAGTTGACAACACACATCCAAGATGAGATTCCATGGTGTATGTTATTTGCCGATGATATTGTTTTACTCGATGAGACTAGAGAAGTAGTTAATGCCAAACTGGAGGTCTAGAGAGAAGCTTTAGAACTAAAAGGGTTTAAGATAAATCGAAATAAAACTGAATATATGAAGTGTAACTTTAGTAAATCTAGAAATACAAATGAGGATGTAGCAAGGATTGGGTACAAAAAAAAAAAAAATTTGAACATTTTCGCCATTCAGGCTCAATTATTTATGGTGAAGGAGAAGTTGGGGATGACATTAATCATAAAATCAAGACAAGATGGGTTAAGTGGAGGAGCGCATCTAATATATTGTGTGATAGGTGTAACCCTTTACGATTGATAGGAAAGTTCTATCGAACAGCTATACGACCAGCCATACTTTATGGCATGGAATGTTCGGCAGGTAGGAAACAACATGTGCATAAATTGAGCGTGGCTAAAATGCGAACGTTGAGATGGATGTGCGGTAAGACTAGGAAGGACAGAATTAGAAATGATCACATTCGGGAGATTGTTGGAGTAGCACAAATTGGAGATAAAATGAGATAAAATCAGTTAAGATGGTTTGGACATGTGCAAAGAAGACCCTTAAGGTCGCCAGTTAGGAAAAGTGACATAATCCACGTTGAGGTAATACTAGAGCAACGAGAAGACCAAAGTGGGTAGAATTAGTAAGGAATGATGTGATAGCATGTGGATTGACTGAGATTATGGCCTTGAATAAATTGGAATTGAAACATAGGATTCATTCAGCCGACCCCAAATAGTTTTTTTTTTTTTCCGACCCCAAATAGTTGGTAAGAAGGCTTGGTTGTTGTTTTATGTGTGTGTGAATATATATGAAGAGAGAGAGAGAGATGTAACTTTCTCTTGACAAGGATAAAAACAATATTCTTGAGGAGAAAAACAAAATTACAAGAGAAGAGGAAGAGGATCCTCATAAAAGGATGAACACATAGAAAGGGAAAAGAAAATAATGGGGAATAAATCGACCAAAGAATGTCAAGTAGGAATTAATATACAAACAAAAAATTGCAACCACTAGAAATTTCTTTTAACACACCATATTGCTCCCAAGTAGAAACGTTGCAAAAAATGTGCACCAAACTTTTGAAACATTGCCGCTACATCTAATGAGTTAGCCAGATCCAAGATTAGTACATGCATCAGTTCCAAGATAGAGAGACACAGAAAAAAACATGCTTTGAGAAGTTTTATAGATACAAAAGATAGGTGGAAATGTTGTCCTGAATAATCTAACATCACTCTACACCCAAAAAGTCATCAACAACCATCTCAGAACAGGTGAACAATACTGAAGCAAAGGGATCTAGACCACATAACAAAGCTAATGAGGGGGAACTACCAGAAACTCCAGTGGAGCCGTCAACAATGAGCCACTAGACAATTAATGAGAAGAGAGCAAAGCATTTTACCCATGTCCCCAGCGCCTCCACACATACAAACAGGATAGATGGCCTTGCTCTTGGTGTTCCTAGTGCATTAAAGAACTAATGCAATTTTCAGTGCAACAACCCAAAAGAAGGGTAATAAGGAGGGACATCAGTCACATCACGAGACTAATACATTAATGATGAAAAGAGAAAGGAAAAAAAATTGGACAAAGAACAGACCAAATATAAAAGAGATATGAGCACAAAGAATTGTTACACTCAAGAGCTCATCAACTAGAATAATAAGAACTTTGAAATATATATTTATCCATGATATGACAATAGGAGGTATGATCATCAAGCTAATTAATCATCGTTACTTTGGAAATTAAAATGTGTAGTCTTGAAACTGTGGTAATACTTTGAAGAGTTCCAAAATCAATTTTATTCAATCATTTGTTTCCTATAAACATGGCATTTGCTTAATGTAATTCCTGACACCCAAATACATGTATAAAGTCAAGCCACCAAGTGATGGATAAGAAAACCAGTTTATCTTAGAACATTGGCACCAAGAGTGAAGTAAGCATCAACAATTCACCCAATGTGCCGGTAGTTGTGATATTCTGGCCCTCAAAGGGAGATGCAAACAGATCAATTTCAACATACAACTATCAAACTAACAGCAAATCCTTTAACAATTCCAGCTAAAAATTATACTTCAACTAGAAACACACCCAACAAAATTTACGACTAAAGATGATGTTCCTGTACCATACATGAAGCAGCCAATACAAAGAAATAAAATGTCAGGCACATGATGCTAACAAACTGTCTACGTTATTGAATGCTTTGGTGGTCAAACCTTTGTGGGTTAGGACCCCTGTAAGGGTACGAGCTATGATAACTTAATTCTCGAGCTATGATAACTTAATTCTCTCTAATAGATTGTTCAGGTCAAGAGTTCCATCCTTGTGGGAATGTGCAAAAATCATTCAATCGCAAGCTTGATGAAATATTAATGAACAAGCTTTTCTGCTAGTTAAACTCTACCCAGGTTCAATTCAAATTCAATCAAGTCAAGCCTAAATAGCCCAATACATTCCAGATTTGTTGCTGAATTCTTTTTTCCAAGTTTTATCTGATTTGGTTTAATTGATCAAAGGAATCCAAACTTCACCGAATTGCACAAACCTTCATCCAATTTAAAATCATGTTATCACCCAAATAGACACAATTCCATACAAATTCAAACCTAAACCGACCAATGTTAAACTAAACTCATTGTTAGTAAAATAAATAAAAGGGAATACATATTCTGCAAAACATGTTGACATAATTATATAATCAATTATTAACCCTATTGTCCGAAATAAAATAATATATGATTATATGAAGGTCTAGAGAGAGACATATAGAGAGAGGTACGAACTATTCAGTGACATCCTCGAGGACCATGTTGACGTAGACGTCGAAACCCCGGAGTGTACCAACGAGTTCCTTGTCGCCTTTCATTATCACCCATATCTTCGACCCTATGCACCGATCTATCAACTCTGCAATCCCCAAACTACCACTTGTTAAATTCGTCGATTAAGTTTGTTTTTTTTTTCTTGATCATGGAGTTAGATATAGAGAGAGACAGTAGAGAGAGAGAGATTGTACCTGAGGGAAGGAGCTGTGAAGGATTGTTAGCCATCTCTGTGTCTCTATGTAAGCAGAGCTCAAGCAAAGCAGTGATTGCTTCTCTTCTCTCTGCGAAGTTAGCGACAGCGTACGGCGGTACGCAGAGGAGTTTAAAGTAGGAAGAGTTTAAATGACTAATTACTCCTTTTTGACCTGCTGAATTTACATTGTTACCCAAATGCTTTGTGTCCAGGGTGAAAAAAAACTGGTTCACCAAACCAAACCCGTAAATTCGGTTCGGTTTTTTCGCAGTTTGGTTCAATCCGGTTCCAAGAAACCGTTTATCAGTTATGATTTGAAGTTCTGCAATATTAAATCAAATTGAATCGAACCATTTTATAAATTGTATATATATTTGTATATTTTGTATTTTATATATCATAATATATTATAAAAGATTATAATATATATAATATATTTTTTTAATTATATATATATGTATATATTAAATTGAATTATAAAAAAGTTTAAAATCATGGGATCGAACCAAACCAAATAGCTTTCTCACGGTTTGGTTTGATTCAGTTCCATTAGTTTTACGATTCAGTTCGGTTCAATTTTTTATGAAATCGTAAAACTTGGTTTGATTCCAAAATAATTCCAAACCAGTCTAATTTGAATTGTGTGTACCCTATTTGTGTCTTCTCTTTTGCACTCCTTTTTTTACCTGCTGAATTTACATTGTTACCGAAATGCTTTGTCTTCTCTTTTGCTAGGTTTGGTTAAATGGAAATAACCAAAAATAAATAAAGAAATGAACATTTTAGATGTTTCGTTGTTGTCCAAAATGGTCTAAGTGTACTATATACTATAGTATTACTATTTAAATATTATGTAAAAATATATTGTATATATTATTATTATTACTCGGTCCAAATTCTTCATTTATTGTTTTATTACTTTAATTTGAATGTTTAATTAAATATCTAGTTGCATATATTATTAATTATTTTTAGCATATTATTAATTATCTCATGGTATATTAGTATAAGGTTAGTTATATCTTAAATGTCATATGAAGCAAATAATTTTCAACATCAGTTACCAAGAATAAAATTTTTATGCTATGATAGATACAAATAAAATTAAATGAGAAGGAAAGAAGAAGAGATTGATGAAATATCCATCCTTGAGGAAAAAGGTTGGTTCAATTTGCTAACGGTTTGGTTCGATAAAGGTTTCAAATTTGCGAAACCGTAAAGATACGGTTTGGTCACAGTTTGAGATGACCAAACTAAACTAAACTACACCGTCTAGTTATCTATATATATGTTAAATTATAATTCTACAATCCAAATCATTTAGAAGTTTGTAGTAACTATCAATCATATAGTCCACTCTTAATTCTCTTAGATCTTGTCAATTTATTAGATGATTTTTATTTTTTATTGATTTACAATTGTTGAATTTTGTTGATTTTCTGAATTGTGTGTAAATGTTTGTTGTTGAATTAGTAATTAAGAAAATTATTAAGTTATTAGCAATTCTGAATTTATTCACTTAAGTTCCAGAAGTAATAAAAAAGAATGAATTAAAAGTTCTAAATATATTAGCAGTTCTGAATGTGTTGGTTAACTTGATTTATTGTTGTATATTTGGATTTTGAAATATGAATATTTCTGTAGCAAGAAAGAAAAAAAAAAAAAAGAAAAAAAAGAAAGAAGAAGAACCGTGGAACCGAACCGAACAAAACTAGTTTATCATGATTTGGTTTAATTTATTTGGTCAAATAGTTCGGTTTGGTTCTAGATTTTCTGGAACAGTTATGATCGATAGTTAAAAAAAAAAAAAACACTAAAAAATTGGTCCAAGCCAAATCGTGTACACCCCAATATTTTTTATCGTTTTTGTTTGGTTTTATAAAAGAGCTAGAATGAGACGAGGCACCACCTTATCTTGTTTAAGAGATGAGGAAGGAGGGAGATTGTTTATATTGAGTTTTATCTAATAATTGTGAAGGGTAATATTGTAATTTAAAATTTGTTTAAGAAGTCTTACTTCTCTTCCTTCGTTCTTGCATCCAAATTTGGAAGAATAATGACTCCTCTATCCTCTATTTTCTTCCCTTGGTGTCTTCTCAATAAAGTTTGTTTTTCCCTTCCCATATCTTCCTGGCCTCCACCCCTTCCCACCAAACGGACCATTAAAGAAAAAATTCTTTTAAGAACCTAATTTTTCCATAAATATTTTTTATAAAAAGCATAAGAAAATTTTAATTTCTTGAGAATTTTTTTTTTTTAAATTTATAATAATAACCTTTCTTTTATGGTAAGTTTCGTACTATTATAATCATAAAATAGTACCATATTCCTATAATTTTATTGAAAAAAAAAATCATGCTAATCAAATATCCCATTAAAAATTTATTTTACTTTCATTCACTTCACTATTTTTTATTTTTATTTTTTTAATTTTTACGTTCACTTCCTACTATCATTTTCCATCTAATTAAAGAACCTTTTTATTTTCTTCCAAATTCATGTCTTACAATTGTTACCCAACTACCAACACCATTGGATTACTCTCCTTTTTTCCTATCAAACAAAATTGGTGTAATTTCGATTGATAGCTAGAAGAATACTTCAATTATGTTTCAAACTCATAAAATTTTTAGGTGAATTTATTTTATTTTATTTTTAATTTTTATCATCAAATAATCATACATTATTAATAAAATAATACATAAATCATGGAAAATTTTATTGTTAATTAATCTTAGCATTGAACATACTTACCTATCTGTGTTCGCCCACTACTGTGACGATAATATAAAAAAATGTGTATTTAAATATTATTAAATGGTCATATCTATCTTTAAAATAAGTACGATAATTTAATGCTATATAAAAACCCACAATAACCTCGTGACTACCCTCACCATCTTCTCCCTTATACGATTATTAAAATAACCTCCTTACAGTATACTGTGTCTGTATTTTTATTTTTCTATTCGTAAAATTATATATATTGTGTTCATATAATTTCACCTACTTGTACAAGAGGTCATTTATTAATTATATTATTTCAAAATAGAAGTTTTATTGATAGCATTATACTCGTAATATCCATCTTTTTCTCTTACTGTATTTTTACTAACTATTCTTACATTGTTGTTTTTTCAATCGTATCACAAATTAGAAGTGTGATGAAATGAACTCATGTTTGAAAAAAATATCATAAAATATTTTTAAAGTTGCATATTTATTTGTTTCGATCAGGACATTTAATAAAATAATTATTTATAAAGTATAATATGATACAGTTATGACATGCCATTTACAAAACCATTAATTTTGTTACTAACTGAAAAAATGAATAGTAAGTTAGTTAACATATATGTTAATTGCACATCATTTCAAAATTAATTATTTCTTCTAATATAATGTTAAAAGCAATGTAAGCATATATACGTGCATATATATATATATATATATATATATATATATATAGGGTAATGATTTTTACTTGAAGACCATTAAATATGATTACCATTAATGTAAGACACTTAACACACTTATTATATAATTAAGTTTAAAATTTGTAAGAAAAATTGAAGGTTCTTTTATTAACATATATTTTTTTCTTTCACCAAACACATTTTAATAAAACATATGCATGTGTATATACATGTTAAACTACGTACCTTAACCTAATTTTTTTTTTTTTTTTTTAATTTTTGTTATATTTATATATAATGCAAATCACGAATTTTTGTTGAATGGATTTTGAAAAATGTCTTATTTTCCATATAATTTTTTTTTTATAATTGTTATATGTGCTCGGTGGTAAATTATGAATCTTACAAACATTCTAACACCACCGTCCACGAAAAGGGCAAAAAACAATAATAATAAAAAAAATGTTTCATGGTTTCTTTCTTCCTCCCACCCTTCCACTTTCCATTTCCTTTTCTTTTCGCTTGCTTTCCAAACACAGTACAAACGACTGCACCCCAATTGTCCAAAAACTCTCTCCCCTATTTTAATTTTTTTCATTTTCTTAATTTATTTTTATTGGTCGTCGGTTATAAATAAAACGAGTCCCACCCCCTAATTTTTCAACCCGATTTCCTTGTATCCGTCTCTAAATTTCGTCAAAAGTTTCAGTAATTATTCAATATATATAGTTTGATATTTTCAGAGAATTCTTAATCTCGTAGGGACAAAGCGTGACGAACTCAAATTCTTCCAAAGCTATTGTAATTCCCCACTTTCATGTCTTAATTTTCATCTAGGGTTTTGATTAATTTTTGTTGCCTCCGATCTAATTTCATATTTTTTTGATTCAATTGTTGTGGATGTTGACGCACATATCTATGTTATATGCATATATTCCTTTAATCCAAAATAAAGGAACGATCTTTTCAGTGTCTCTAGGTGGGTTAGGGTTTGAGTTCAAAACTGGTATGATATTTTTTTTAGGATGCCATGTTTTGCTTTCAGAATTTATTTTCTGAAATTGAATGTGCATTTGAAATGAAAAATAAGTTGAATCTCAAAAAACCCACTTCAATTTAGTCATGTATCAGTTTCCGTTTTTCTCAAATATAAATATGATCAGATATCAAATTAAGGAGCGTGAATAATCATCTTGACATGGTGTGTGTTTTATACTTTTTTATAATTTGATCTCTGATTATATATATATATATATATATATATATATATATATATATATAATCATTACAATCTAATAGACAAGGATGACTATATGGCAGTTTGTAAAGCATTTTACTCACTCTATCCCTATTTTTACCATTATTAAAGATCAGGTGGATTTATTGCCGATTAGTACTGGATTTTGCGTTAGGTTTAAAAAATTTTGGGGTTTATATTTTGGAGATCCTGTACCCTTTGATCCCCCATTTGTGATTTTTATCAGGGGATGATGATCAATGTTTAATTTGTTTTTCTCCATGCATATATTTTTAGTTGGAGGTTTTTTGGTTCAATTACATGAAATTTAATTTAGATTTGTTTATGGTTATAGTGTTATACTTTATCGAATTAGAGCTACAACGTTTTTCTCATGCTCTTGTTAAGTTCTAGATTGAGATGGTTTGCAGTTTGAACATGACCATCACTTGTATTCTGCGGATAGAACTGCAGGTTTTGGGTCTCATCGAGATAAAATTGACTATTTTTTAATAAAATATATGTTGTACCCTCTTTTTCAATTTGTAAATATAGATTTGAGATATTGTGCAGATGATCATCACTTCTGTTCTGCGGTATAACTGCAGGTTTTAGGACTCATTGGTGATTGAGGCCAAGTACGGTCCATAGTTATTTTTTCAAGGATGTATTTCTTGAAGATCCGTAGGACTGTGCATTACTGAATTATCTATAGATGCTCTGGAGCATTGCGTGAAGGCTTGCTTTCCAGTATACTACAAATATCATGTGTTAACTCTTATCAGTGTCATAAAGAATCAGAGCTTCCAGTAGGAAAATATTTTCACTGCCTTCACTTGGTGAGTATTCATGAAGTGAATGATATTTTGTTGATTCCATATTTTTTATTTCGACCCTATGAATTATGCATCAACATTATCTGATCTGCTCTGTTTGAAGATTAATCCCAATTTTTATGACTTCATTTCTATATCACAACTGAGTAATTTGGCAGTTCACCTGTTTTTTCTTTTAAATGTTCGTGGTTTACATTTATGTTCATTTAGTACATGGATCATAGTTGTTATGAATTCTACTTGGGTGATGAACTGCGATGGGCAGAGGAATGGTTAGGTGATATGTATTATGTAAAGTAAACCTTTGGGGTTTGCTGTTTGTGATAGTGGCAAGTTAGTTTCAAGATCATGGTTGATTTGCTATCTCTTATAGAAGGGCGTGAAGGACTTAACTTTAAATGCAGCTCTCTATCTCATTAGGTTTTAAACAACAGAATATATATATTAGGAATATATATATTATTAAATTTGATACCTTGGAATTGAGATGTAAACATGTAATGTTCCAGATTTGTGTGATATGAGGTGCAGATTGCTTTGATTAATAGTATGCTATGGCAAGCTTGTTTTTTATATTACGTGATGAGGTTGGACAATGAAGTTGTTGGAAAATGAAGAAAGAGTAGGTGACACAGATGGATGGTTGTTATTTGTGGAACATTATAAAAATAAAAAATGTAAGGGAATTTCTAAAAGTTGGGTCCAAATACAAATAGTGAATTTTTTTTTTTTTTTTTGGGGAAAATTATTTTCTGGCCACATTCTACTTAGTTTCTTACGGGATTAAAACTTTAGGTGGATCTGTTTTGTGGTTATTTGCTTATATAAGTTCTGTTAATGGAAGCATATGACTGCCTTCACCACTCAGGTGGATTCAGAAGCACATGCACTAGTAGTGCTTTCCACTTACCTATTTTGGGGAAGGAAAAGTGGTTGTGGTGATTTGGCGTCAAGAACGTTATGATTAATTTATCAATATAGATTCAAGAAATGTTGTAATTTAAATCTGAAAAGTTAGGGCAAAACCTGAATTTTAGTAATTAAAATCTGAATGCAGAGGGAGTTGGCAAGGTTCTGATATGGATATGTGGGGCACTTAACTTTTAAGGCATACCTATATCATATATGGGTTACTTTTTATTGTATGCATATTGATAATTGAATTACTTAAGCTAACTTAACAAATCCTTTTTACATCTAGAAATTTTGTTACCAGTGTTTTACTTTGCAACAATTTCTGACAACAATAGTTTGTATGATTGCAAAAGTTTTTTTCTTTTTTATCTTTTGTCTTTTCTCCTTAACAAATAGAATTCAGTGTTAAATTTTTTTATTTAGCAGTAATTCTAAGAAGTGATAGATGTTAAATTGGCTCCTTTTGTGGTAAGGAATTTTTTCCTTTGCTTCATGGTGATAAGGGCTCACATGATCATTATTAATCTTTGAGTGGATGATAATGATTATTTGTCAGAAGGAGGTCTTCAATACTTTGGGGAAGCATAGAGGACAAAAAGGGTAGAGAAGGATCAAGTTTGGAGGTTGACTAGGCTTTTATATTTTTTTATTTATTTTCTAAGAGTTTGAGTTTGTATAGTCTTTTAATTAAATTTTATTTGATTTTAAGATAGAAAATAATTTCACTGAGTTTCAAAAGGGAAATTTTTTTTCTGGTTAAGTCATGTGGAATGTTGAGTAGATTTCCTTTTCTTCCCTATGTGTTCTGGTATATATTAATCTTGAGCCATAAATTCTACATTGAATTAGCTTTCTACAATTTGGAAACACTATAGATACCCTTTACATGCCCTATAATAATCTTTCTAACCATACGGTGTTGCTAGTGCTGTGTTACTGATAAGGAATTTCTTCTGAGTTTGGAATGTTAGGGCTTAGAAGAGAAAGAAGTGCTCTCTAAATCTGCTCTTTATTTTTTGAACAAAATTATTTCTTGGAGTTTAGCCTCAACAATGTGTTGGAATCAAATTCTTTTGGGAATTTGGATTTCAAAAATAAAGGAAATGAAATCTCATTAATGTGTTTTCAACAAACCGCAATTCAGAATATTAGAATAGGGGTAGAGTTGAGTAAACTTCTAAGGATACTTTATTTATTTCCAGATACCATGAGATCTGACCATTTTTTCATGGTATTTTTTAAAAAGACTCAACTGCTAAGGATACTTAAGTTATTTCAAGATCTGATAGAATCCCGACCATTTTTTAATGGTATTTAAAAATACCTTCTTTTTTTTTTTTTTTAATCATTTTAAATTCCTTTAAATACAATCCCATTTGAAATCCATGCCATTTTAAACAATAGAAAACGCAGCATTTCAAATGGTCCATGCCATTTGTTTCATTTGCTTTGCACAATATAAGTCAAGAGCTGGTGTACTGATCATTTAATGTTTTGAGTAACATACTACAGTGCACGTAGATGGCTAGTAGAAAAAGAAGCATTTCAAATGGTTCGGATATCCATGCTCTCCACAAGGAATGGGATGAAGCTTCATGCCCCATATGCATGGACCACCCGCATAATGCTGTTCTCCTCAAATGCAGTTCACATGCAAAGGGTTGCAGATCTTACATTTGTGACACAAGCTACCGGCATTCAAATTGTCTGGACCGATTTAAAAAACTCAGAGCTGATAACAGGAACAGTCTGTTGACACCTAATTTATTACCTTCAAATCAACAGAGTTCTATTGATATTTCTGATAGTGGTAGTTTGGGTTTGAGAACTACAAGTGCTTTGATTGAAGCTAATGGAGATCACAATCTAAGGGAGAACCACACTGTAGCATCTGTTGGTTTGCCTGGAGGAACTGGTGAAAGTGGAATCGATGATGCAGATAGGCGTTTGGAAATGCAAGAAGGCATGTTTGAAACTCGGAATTCTGAGTCTTCACTGGGAAGGCTTGAACTTGAAGAGAACAATGGGGAGAGTTTGCCAGACTCTAGATTGAGTTTGAGGTGCCCCTTGTGCCGTGGAACTGTTTTGGGCTATGAAATTGTAGAAGAGGCCAGAAAGTACCTCAACTTGAAGCCCCGAAGCTGTTCTCGCGAATCATGTTCATTCTCTGGTAACTACAGGGAATTGTGTCGGCACGCTAGGAGAGCTCACCCAACGGCCCGACCTGCTGACATTGACCAATCGAGACTACGAAGTTGGCGACGCCTTGAGCATCAGAGAGAATATGGTGATCTTGTCAGTGCCATTCGGTCAGCAATGCCAGGTGCCGTTGTGCTTGGGGACTATGTTATTGAAAATGGAGATAGACCACCTGGTGAAAGAGAAAGAGGTTCAGGTGAAGCTAATGGGCCATGGTGGACTACTTTTTTCTTGTTTCAGATGATTGGCTCTATGGATTCTGCCGCTGAGCGAAGGGGAAGCAGGTCAAGAGCTTGGACAAGACACCGACGCTCAACAGGAGCTTTATCTGGACGCAGGTTTCTATGGGGTGAAAATCTGTTGGGTCTACAAGACGATGACGACGACGATGAAGATGATGATGACCTCGACTTGAATATATTAAGTGACATGGGCGAAGATGTGTCTCCAATCCCAAGAAGGCGTCGGCGGTTGACACGTTCTAGGTCAGATGAAGACGAGTCGTAAGATTGTCAGCACTTCCTGGTATTTTAGTGTCCTTGGACATAAATTTGGTTTTACTTGAGGAACTCTTATTCAGATTGCCTTTATCTGACCTTCTTGGTATTTCACAGCGTTATGCAGACTGCCCTTTAACAGCCAGGACTCTTTATGTGAGTTGGGAGCCCTGATGCCGAAATCCATTAGCTCAACCAGCGAAGGGTGAACAGAGAAAGGTACGGATGTAGATCAGTTCATTTGAATGGGGGTTTCTTGTCTGTTGTGCGAGGGCTACTTCATTCCTGGAAAAGGGTACAGAGAATACAAGAAAAGTGGATTTGTCACCTAGAACTGGGATTAGATGGCAGTCTTAAGAGTCTTAACTTCAGAACTATATGAATTTCTATTCAGATTTGATGTCTAATAGTCATTGTTGAACTCATGTTATTTGCACCTCTCTCCCTCCCTCCCCTAAGTGGGTGAAAGAGGTGGTGTTTGTCTTTGCAGCACAATCATGCAGTTGTATTTATGGCTTTGAGAATAAAATTTAAATAATGTGCTAGTTGTTGCTTGAGAACATTGGCATAGTCCTTTATGAATGAATCTTTTCATGGCTTTGGAGTGGTATTCTAAGATGGATCATCCCTCCTCCTCCTTGTGTGTGTGTTGTGTTTGAAGTGTTGTGGTTGCTCATTTATTGATAACACAGATTGTGGGAGGAAAAGAACTGAGGCAAGTGCCTTGGCTTTCTCATTCTCTTTTCTGAAGGAGAACATTAGAATTCCCCAATTATCTACATATGTTTTGGTGTCTCTTCTCACTTCTCTTGTAGTGCTTGGTTCCATGCAATGGCAGTAGTGAAAATTTGGAGAAGGAAATGATTGGATCGATAGAAGAAGTATTCATTATATCAGGACGATGGTGATCATGGACTTGGTAGTCTCTGATTACTTTTTGTCTATATAGGTTCAAAGTATAATTTAGGGTCATTGCAATATGTGAAGCACTCACCATATGCTGCCATCCAAGCAGTTGTTATGTTACTAGTGGGACAATACAACCCATATTTTCTTGGCTGAATGCATTCATTAAACAGGGTGTATCTCGTGTCACTGCCTCTGAATTTGGCCTCACTAGATGGATAAGTAGAATATGCCATCCTCTGTGTGTGTGTGTGTGTGTGTGTTGGGGGCTTCTACTCCTTTATACGCACGCAACACATAAATTTGCCTTAGCCTCCCATTCCCTGATTGCTTCGGGGAGTGCCAATATAGTAGGATCATATGCAGCCCTCATTGAGGCCAACCCACAGTGCAGTGAATGCAGTCAGCCAGCTGAGACCGATGAGGCTTGTCGCCTGTGGTTTGTCAAGCACGTTACTGCCGGTAGTTCCACTCATTGGCTTGTCGTGGCCATGGGTGAGAATGCAGAGGATGTGGTGCGAGAGATTGAATGAATGGACGAGTTTTGGAGGTGAAGTCGTGCATTCTTGTGACTATAGGTTGGTGATAAGTTCTCTAGAAAGGATGTTCTTGTTGTGGGTTATGGTAATTAGGGCATAAAAGTCTCTTGATCTTTGCAACCACGTCAAGTCATCAATGGTGATTCTAAGCTTTGTTAAGTTATCGATATAGAGTTTGGTCAATTTTCCTTTCAATGAAACTAAAGCCATGAAGTTTAATGATAATAGGATTTGTTATTGGCTTTGATCTACAGGTTAATTTACTAACCATGAAATTTAACTCACATTTGAATTGTTTGCTATGATGATAAAATGTCTGTGTTTACTCTATCCCTCCGTACATATGATATTAATAGAAACATTTGTGAGGGCTTAACCTTCTTTTGAAGAAAATAAAAAAAGAAAAGGAAATATTCTTCTTTTCAATAAAAAAGAGGGAAAAAGAAAAGAAAAGAGAGAGCTTCATTATTACATACTTTTCCAATTAACCTGTTTCTGATGCATTCTTGCATATTATACCTGTTTAAAATAAACACATTTTGAGATGACACACGACACATATTGATTTCATTATGAAAAATAACAGTATACAAACATTACAACAAAATGCATAGGGTAACTGCAGAATTATTGCTGTTTACTCGAACTTCGGTTGAAATGTTGAAAATGTACCAATCTTGAAGAGAGCTACATTAATTCCAAGGCCGGAAGCAAAGGGATTGATTATATCCATCACAAGAATGTGTTTTTATTGGCAATCCTTTGATAAAAGATTGTTACTTCTGACCATTCGAGCGTTACACAGGTCATCAACAGAGTCCCCTCTTTCAAAAACAGCTGCAGCCCCCATGCCTGAGCCTGCAGAAGTAGATGCGCGTTAATGTTCAATTTTGAACATGTCACTAAAAAGAAAAGATGGCAATACTTTTGTGTAGAGAGAGAGAGAGATGTACCTATGCACATGGAAATCACACCAAAACGACAGTCCTTGCCACGGCGCTTCATCTCATGCAGTAAAGTTGCAACACATCGGGCACCTGAAACAGGCAGATAACAGGTGGTTCTAACTCAAGAATTTTCTTTTCACTCTGCTCTCAAGTGTATAACTAAATGACACAAGAAAAGTTTCCAGATGAGAATAATCTTCAAAAGATCGACATTACATCAACTAAATGACACCTGACTTAATAGAAGACAGAATTCTGTCTCATTTCGGAGTTGTCATGTTTTCAGAAATTTATCTGGAAATATTTAAAAACCCGACATTGCTTTTCTAACTTGATTAGTTTATTTATTTATTTTGTTGGGTGGGATGAAAACTAAACAATTCAAAGAACATTGGCAATGACATTTATGAATGTGTACGCCCCAAATTTACAATCTTAAAATAACAAGAGCCTACATCTGCTCAACATCTGAACAAATGAAGAACATCAAACTTATTACATCGAATCAAGCATGGGCCATTTGTTCTTGGCTTCATCCAAAATTGGTTCAAGTTTCATTCATGAATGCAAACAGCTCCAGCCCAAATAAAATTAGGTGCAGGGTTAGGCATATGAAATTTATATGTTTTATAGCTAAAGTTAGAGCAACTGTCTACCCATGAACTAATAATTAATCTTATGCTGGATTTTTATGTGTGTCGTTACATATCAAGCAAGTAAATGCAGTCAAATCAGCTATAAAGGTGCTGAACCCAAGCCTAGATTAGTTTCGTGGACCTTGAGAATAAGATATGTCGATGAGATTCTGGTAAACTAGTGAATCATTATCAACCATAGAATAGCCTGTGATACTCCTCAAAAATGTGAGACTCACCTTTTGCAACTTGTACAAATCATTTTTCTATTCAAATCTATTTTTTTGTCTTGGAAGAGGAATCAATGCTATTAGGTGTAATTCCAAACTCTTGACATAGGATGAAGTAGAGTCTATCTACATGATTCAGACAGAGTCAGCATATGCAAGTAAGAGGTGGAAGAACGAGATTCAAGCGTTAGGTATCACGTAATTGCTTGCCCAAGGATAACAAACATTAATGTACAACGAAATTGTAAAAGGTGAACATACAATGGAAACATACTTGTATAGTTACAAGTGTCAACATGCAGATACACATAAAAGTTGCCTGAGTTTTGGTGGAATGTGGAAACATAAATAGTTCTACAAGTGCTTTTCAAACCACAAGCTCTCATATCTCTACAAGATGTAATTAAACATACCTGTAGCGCCCAAAGGATGCCCAAGAGCCATTGCACCTCCATTAACATTGACTTTTTCTGGATCAAGCTCCAGTTTTTTACAGCTATATACAAATTGGGATGCAAATGCCTGCACAAAGAAAACATTGTATACCGCACATTTCTTATGTTTTACTATAACATAAAAGTTATAGTCACGAAATTAACAAAGTACCTCATTTATTTCAAACAAGTCAATATCATCAAGCTCCAGACTAGCGGCCTTCACCGCAGCTGGAATTGCAACAGCTGGACCAATACCCATAACAGCTGGATCCACCCCAACAGCAGCAAAACTCCTGCACGAGTAGCACAAATTGGCATTCTAAACACCACCAAATCAAATTTAAAACTATTAAAAATGTGGATATCTTCCTTTCTCAAGAAAATTTAAGCAAGTTCAATTTTTCTCTTAATAATCATTCAGGCCTCTGAAATGACGTAAAAACTTTTATATAATATTATCAAAAGAAGTTCCGTAATTCACTCTGCGCTTTTCCTATCACCATCCCTGTGGCAGTATATCCTTAATTTACCTTACCTTTTTTAACCCTTCGATTCCTAAGTTTACCTACTGAATTGTTTATTTGAGATGGTAGGCATTGCATTTCCCTTTCCAATTGATGCAGCATTACAAGCTCTATATAAAATTGCCCATTATTTTTTTAATTGTTGATCAAGGAGGTTGATCCTTTGCGATGTAAAGGCATCCTGAAGAGATACCGCAAGTAAGGCTCGCATCCGAGCATTTTGAGCATTCAGAATGTTGACATAGGAACAAATTATTCACAAAGAAAGTGTTCTTCAGTTCTATTGTGTGCCTTTAGTTCCAAGCAGTTTTTACTTAATTATGAGATTCGGTTCTTTTTTTTAAAGGTTTTCACAAAATTATCTTGCATCAGCCCAAAACACGTTACTGTTTTCTGTTAAACACTTAAACTATTACATAAGATAAAACTCCAACATTATTCTTTTTTAATATGTAAGACACACTCAGACACCCACTCTATCCCAATCAGGACTTGAACCCTCAACCTCCTTTTTGACATGCGGAGAGGTACCACTTATGCTAATGCTTGGCAATAGCTCCAACATATTTCTCTACACGGGAAACAGTTTTCTGTAAAAGAAACCACAGCTGATATTGTGAAGCCAACATAAGTATCAATTGAAGTTGAGAGCTGCCACTGACATCTCCAGAATGAATTTTCTTTCAACAAATACTTCGATACAAGGAAGACTGCCAATTTTTTGTGTCTAAGCAGAGTATATTGTTTGGATTTTTAAATTGCTACTCCAGCCACCACACTCAGTTCTTTGATCCTGCTTCAACAGATTTTACAACCGTTCCACTGAAAGCATCCCTAGTGAAGTCAATACTGAAACTGATGTTATACCATGGAAATTCTGTGGTGGTGCAGTAGATCACCTCCAAGTCGAAGACTCCAAATCATTAGAAAGACATTGACCTAGATTGACAAAATTGGAGACCAAGATATTATGGAAGAAAGTCCAAATCTTATTTTTGAAATGTGGAACGTCTAATAAAATGAAGGTCGCAGTTCGTGATGTAACAGCAATGGAGGTTTCAGGATAATATAACTGTACCGGAAAGAACTCCAGGGATTAAAGGCAACAGGGGAAAATTCCTAGCAGATGTTCAAACTCGGAAATGACCTTGAATTTGACATGTTCCTGCAAGTTTCTTTAACTAAAACTGGTAAATGGAGACTAGTTCTTTGTGCTTTTCTTTTTCTTTTTCTTCCTTTTCATTTGAATACTTTTTGACGATTCAAACAGAACACCAGATGAATTCAAGCCAAGCAATATATAATGACATAGAATATATAATTGAGCTAAAAAAAAAAGAAAAAGAAACGCATTTACACACAACAAGGACTAGATTAATTATAGTTCATGAAATCCTTTAACCAGCCCAATCCATTTAATTCATGGTTTGATTACTTCAAAACAAGTAATATTGTATGAGTGGGTGTCAAGAGCCACATATTATTTTATTAATTCTAAATTCAGGTCATATATCCCTTTTGAGGAAATAACATACCTGAACACACCAAGGATTGGAAGTCCCTTCCGCATAGCCAGACTTCTCTTCATGAGGAGGACTGCACCAGCACCATCACTCACCTGACTAGCATTCCCTAGAAAATCAACCAGGAATTACTCAGCTAAAAAATTAAATGCATGGTATCAAGTAATGTTCTCTAAAACAATTAATTTTGAAGTATGCCATTATTGCATACCGGCAGTGGTGGTCCCGTCCTTTTTGAATGCAGGCTTCAACTTCGCCAGAGCTGCCATAGTTGTATTTGGCCTAATGCCATCATCCACAGAAATAGTAACAGGCTTCTCCTCTCCAGTTTTTGGGTCCACAATCTTTGAGAAATGTTCATGAGTTAGAAACTATTAAGGAAAAATTAAAGAAATCTTTTAAATGAAAGAATTCAGCTTCAATCAACCTTTGTATAAACTGGGACAATTTCATCTTTGAATTTTCCAGATGCAGTTGCTGCAGCAGCACGCTGATGAGATATAACCTATAGATACAAATCTGAGGGGTTAAAATTTTCCTAGGAAAATTCTGCGTCGGGAAATAAAATTACATAAATAGATATCTGGAACTCACAGCAGCCTGGTCTTGCTCTTGCCTTGTCACACCATAGCGTTGTGCAACATTTTCAGAAGTAATCCCCATAGGAAGAAGACAATCTCGAGCTTGTACAAAACTCTCCACCTGTTAACAACATAATATCCGGTTGAAGAAACCTTTTTTTTTTTCCTTAACCAAACAGATTTACAATAAAATCAGAGATCAAACATACTCTTGGGTTGGGTTTGAGAGACCTGCCAATCTGATCTAATGTCATGCACTCTATTCCGGCCCCAATGCCTGTATTCAAATAATGAAAATCGAAGACAAAGATGAAGTAATCACATATAATAAATGTATTCACTGGTTTTACTCTCAAGTCTTACCTATATCATAAAATCCAGCTTTTATGGAGGCAACTACATCAGCAACTGCCTGGAGGCCAGATGAACATTGCCTGTTGACGGTTCTGATGGGCACCGTTTCTGGACAAAACAGATAAATCATACATCCATAAACAAAAATTACAAAACTAGAAGGGGCTTTTTAGACACAGCATGTAACAAAATTATGTCAAATTGTTTTTCATTTTTTGAATAAATCAATTTTTTAAACATATTTGTTTTTCACTTTTTTGTTTTAAAAATTGTAATATCAAATCAGTGGTTGGTCCAGTTTAAAGACCAGTTAGTGTGCAAGGCTTCATATACTATGCAAATGCAATTGAATCAATCATTTCTATGTGGATTACAAAGGCCTATAAGAATTTTCATGGATGCATGCACCATGCAGAAATAGAAAGGGTCGGAGAACACAACATTAAAGTACCAGGAAAACCAGCATAGAATGCTGCCATTCTGCATTCAGTTGCTCTTTGCGAACCTGGTGCCAAAACTGTACCAACTACTATATCCCCCACCTCACTTGGGCTCACATTTGTTTTCTCTATCAATGCCTACAGTGACAAATAATCACATGAGAAAGGTACAAGTGCATAAAATGATAAAACCCCAACACTACACTTCTAATTTTCGAACCCAATTAAACTCTGAGAAACTCTTTTCGGCTCATCAACAAAAATCACATACTCATCTTAGCAAGAGTATAAGTCAGGGCATCTAACCTTCAAAACAGGAGCAAGTAGATCATCAGGAAGGGTGTCCTTGAAACCCCCACGTTTAGATTTGCAAATGGCAGTCCGATATGCACTGTTAAACAGGAGTTATGCAAAAAAGTATTCAGAAAAAAGTCAAATAAATCAAATACAGAGATTTTTGGAAAGGACAGTGTGATTGGATGTCCATATGTTGCAAATGAAATTATCTTACGCCACAATGACAACATCATCTCCAAAAGCAGCTGTCCGATTATAAGCAGCACTATCCCCAGCCAAACAAATTGAAGCCTGATAAAAATAAAAAAGTAAAAATAATAAAATAATTGATGTTAGAGAATGAGATCCGAACCAAGAGTCTTAATCAACACAAAGAAACGAATATCATTACAGTTTGGTAAACCAGTTGAAACCGTATTAGTTTCTGAATGAAGCCTTTGTAGTGCAGAGTGACGGTTTAGGCAAATCCTGGAACTTGGATTTGGTAACAACTTGGTAACAATAACTTAAGAATTCAGTGGAGTACATCTATAGAGATTTTTATATTAACAATTTACATATGATAGATCATATTGTTGCTTACAAAAAAAATCTAATATACCACAGTTTTTTTTCCCTTTCAAAAACGACAAATTCTAACATATCACATTCTATTTTTTGTATGCAAACAACTGAATGAATTCAATTTAGTTATGTTATTCCGAAAAACACCTCATAGAGATAAATATAGTACAACTCCGTGAATTCAAATTAGCAAGAAATTAGTGCACATCCTATTCCTGAATTCAAAATGGACCCCTTTGGCTTCTTGGAGTACAACAATTAAAACTTTTTGAAGATGAAAAATGGGGGAAGATTGCACTGTGTGTATCTTCACCAGCTTCTGGTCGTCAACAATTTTTTTCCCCTATAGGTTCCGGGTCCTCACACTGGCTTCAAATGGGAAAATCAACATCCCCCAACCAGTTGGTTGAGCGATAAATTCACCATATACAAAGCTAAAAGATACTATTGGTATAGAAAATAAATTTACAAGCAAATTAGAAATAAAAAATTCATAATTAATGCCATCCATTATATCATTGTACCAGTAAAACCTTGATTCCCATAATAAACATAAGCATAATTTGTATCTATAGTTCATCTAGAATTTACACACATATAAAAACTAAAACAAAGTAGAGAAGTACAAGTAGCCAAAAGATAACATAATATTTTAATCATTCAACACACACACATATAGATATATATAATGAGAATTTCGACATAAATCAGAAAAATCAAACATAGCTAAGAAAACCCCATTAGAAAACAATCATTATTTGGCCATAACACAATCCAATTAATCCATCAGAAAGTCTATAGGATTGACAATTAATATGCTAAGTGAACATCATTAACATAGCAATCTATGGGTTGATGAATAGATAGATAGATACAAGTAGAGGGACTTACAGAGAGGGAAGATTCACGGGTTTGATGAGAAAAAGAAGAAGTGGGTCGAAGGTGTTCCAGCAGAACTCTCTGTCTGTTTATAGCTTTCTCCATTCCTCCCTTTCAATTTTCTCTCTCTAAAACACACACTCTCTCTCTCTAAAAAATATATATCTTTTAGGTGCCTGATTTGGAAGCGAGAAGAATATAAATAGAAGAGAATGGCAGACCCTGAACTAACTAAGAAAGTTATATCCCCGAAATTGAATGGAAAATGATAGTAGCAAGGACCAGACATTGAGTAATTACTATGAAAGTTGGGAGAAGACATGTCCACGATTTCCACGTTATTGGACTGACAAACGTGAGGCAAGTGTGAATTCACATGGACTCCGCTCACACTTGGGTTGATCACATGCCAGACAAACACAACAAAACATTAAAATTAATTAATTAATTACTTCTAAAACTTCCCATTATTATTTATTTATTATTATTATTATTTTTTTTGTCAAACTCTCATTATCGTTATCATTAAAAAAAAATTTGTATAGTGTTATACTTTTTAGAATGTTTTATAATTCAACAGAGACATATATAGTTCCACAATCATATACACCAAATAAGTATTAAAAAAAATTACTAAGAATGATTTAAGGATGTGTTCGACTGTATGGAATTGAAGTTTTGAAGTTAAAATTTATAAAATTTGAGAAAAATAATTAAAAAAGTTGTTAAAAAAATTACTAAGAATGATCTAAGATGTGTTTGGCGGTATGAAATTAAAAATTTGAAAAATTTGAAAAAAATAATTAAAAAAATTGAACTAATTTTTTTAGAATTTTACTAATTATAATTTTAAAATTTCAATTTCATATAATCAAACATACCTAAAAGAATTTGAAATCCCGACCTTTACAATGATAAGACGATAGACTTTTGCCATTAGTCTTTCAAATTCTTTTTGAAAGAATTTCTTTCTACTTCTTTTTAATTGTCATTGTGGGGTCTTGTTGGCACTAAGAGATGGCTTATAAAAGATTAGGTCTCTTTGTTTCCAAGAAATTCTAGATTTGATTAAACAATTTTTTAGTCCCAAAGCACCCATTAGAAAGTTGTTTAAAGTAAACTTGGTCAACCTCATGTGGAATTTTTTCTGGTTAGGTAATTACTTATACCAAAAATTATTTTATGATCCGAAAATTTATGGTCTGATTAATTTTTTATTTGTGTATTAAATTGTGATCCACCTTATTCATAAATATTTGCAAATTTATATGTACGATTAGTTATTAAATATTTACAAATTGCAAAAAAAGTGACTCACAACCATTTCTTCCTGAACCTTTTTTTTTTTTTTTTGTAACGTTGTAGTAGCATCCTAACCAGAACATGCAATATATGTAAAATATAAGATTAAAGTTGTATAAAAGAATAATAAATGTTAGTTTGGTTTCTCATCTCTCTTTTTCAATACCCGCCTAACCAAAACATGCAACATATGTTTAATGAAGTTAAATCTGTGTCCAATTGTTTTCCTTTGAACATCCGCCTATATGATAGCATACAATATATGTCTGTCTGATTCGATTATGATGAGATTATTTATTGATTCGAATTGTTCAAATATGAGATTATTTATTGATTCGATCCGATAATCTATCGGGTTGTCTATGAATACATTTATATTTGACTTGTTATTAATTGAATATGTAATTCAATAATTTGAAGCATTAGGAATATAATTTTTGTTAAAACATAATATTAAAAGAGATTGGTAAACAATAATTAAAAAAGAGACATAAGTGGAGAAGTCAAATAAGTTAGATTTTCGACTCTTCGTTAACGGAAGAAAACACTAACAAGTTGAAAAAAAAAAAAAACAGCCCGGAAGGAAAAAAATGATAATTGTAAATATGTTTATATCCTGTTATATACTGTATTATATTATGTTACATGAGATTATTATAAAAAAAAATTTTAAAAAGTAAAACATATGACTTTTTAGCTAACACAAAATGAAATTTAGATAGTTAATAGTTATCGAATTAAATTTTCAATATATATTCAAATTATTACATTGGATTCAAATTAAAATATAGTTTCATTGATTGGCCAAGTTGTGAATGATATGTCAAATGTTAAAGTTTTTTACAATTTTTTTCTTTTTTCTTTGAAGATGGTTTGATCCCACCAAAAAATAAACATAAAAAATATATTACACAGTCACACTTATTGTTTTCTGGTTGGTTTGTAACTTTTTTTCAAGGATCCGACATCATTACACGTCTTTACGAATCGATCGGTTTACATTCATATTAACCCGAGTCCGTTATATCGTACTGCAATCGCAACGGATACCCGCCACTGACAACCATCGTCTCACCATACAACAAATAATTGCTCGATGTGTTAAGACAGACCACAAGCTATTCTGGACCATTGTTTCAATGCTATTCTTGGTGACACAACAAGAGCCAAAACAAGAATTCTATCTAGTAGGTATATGTGCCCTTTTATTGAAAAAATCCTACTCCAACTTGGAGTTCCACACGCATATATCATAGAATGGCTACTTCAACCTCCTAACTTCGAGAAAATAGTTAGGTTACTATTTAAGGTCGACCAAATAATAACAGCCAAATTGTGTTTTTGGCCTTTAGAATCCACGCGCAACCAAAAACATTACTCGTTTTGATCAGGTGACCATAAGAATAATTTTTCATTAGGTACCATAACTAAAATGTTCATGTGAAGCCAAAACCAAATAATAAATAATGAGTACTGATATACTAGACCATCGAATTTTTCTCTATTCTGATCACAGTGTCTAACGAAAATTCTTAATTAATGATGGATAATGACATGTCTCTCTTCCTTTAAAGAGTTTGAATCAATAATTTTCTGAGAATATATGTTCCTTGAACTTAGGTCTTTTTCAAAAACTTTGTTTTCAAATATAAAATTTTAGAAATTTGTCAACAAAATAATTTTCTGGACAATTTTTTTTCTTCTGAAATCTTAAAATATAAATTTATTCTAAAAAGAAAAAAGTGAACGAAGCAGGCCTTTATATGAACACTTGGCGCCATTGGCTCAAGTCTATCAAGAGTTAAGATTGCTAGATTTGACCCAATTGTTTAGTACCAAAAGTTACGAGGAACCCCAATTTCATAAAGGGTCGAATATTTCCGGGCTAATGGCCCATTAGTCCAGTGACAACTTCACATACATACATACAAATATGTAGGGTTAAGTGAAAAAAACAAACCCTCTATTATCGATACAGTGCAAAATAATCCCTGTGTGATATAATACTCCTCTATACTATCAAAAAGACATTAATACCATCTCTAATATAAATTTCTGGGTTAAATGCAAAAAAACCCCTGATATATAGGGTTTATGTAGAAATAGTCCCTACTTTTTGAAAATGTGCATTTCAGTCCATAAAGTGAGCAAATGCATCCAATTTTGAAATTACAGTGATTGAAATTTCCAAAAATAAAGAATAGTTATCATCCTTGAAATTTATCATAATTACTGTATAAACCAAATGCATTATTTGTTGAAAAATTATCAGTTAGTTTAACTTTACAATGGGTTAAAAAAAAAAAAAATCCATTTTACTGTAATAATAAAGAGGAATAAAGTTTTTTATTTTTAATATATCTTTAATTTAGTTCAGAATTCATTAGCAATTAATTTTGTACAGTTTTGTCATTACTTATTGAATATCTTAAATATATTTATTTTAAGGTTAATGATCTTAATTGGATAACATTGAATTTTGTAACTATTAGTATAAAATTTATGTGGAAAAAAAAATCAAAAAATAAAAGTTAATGGTCTTAAATTAATCGAAATTTTTAAAATTTTTAGGCTCTGTCTGGTTAGATGAAAATTGGTAGTGGTTATATTCTATATTTGTTTAGCATGAATTTTTTACATTGTCTAATTGGATAATATTGAATTTTGTAACTATTAGTATAAAATTTATGTGGAAAAAAAAAATCAAAAATAAAAGTTAATGGTCTTAAATTAATCAAATTTTTTGAAATTTTTAGGTCGGTCTGGTTAGATGAAAATTGGTGGTGGTTATATTCTATATTTGTTTAGCATGAATTTTTGACATTGCCTATTTTTTTTTAAATATTATTTCATTTATATTAGAGAGTGTATTAATGTCTTTTTATGTGAACGGGGGGTAATTGTACCAAATTAATAGTATGGGGGGGGGGGGGGGGTTTATACCATACAGGGACTGTTTTGCACTATGTTGATAGTAGATGGGTTTTTCTTGCACTTAACCCAAGGGCAAAATAGGGTTTTAAAATTTATTTTATGTCAATCTTGACCAAAATGTGGTCAGGGGCTTATTTGCACCTTTTTTGAATTTTATGGACTGAAATGCACATTTTCAAAAAGTAAGGACTATTTATGCACAAACCCTATATATCAGGGGATTTTTTGCACTTAACCCCTAATATGTATATATATTTTTTGTTTTAACAAACACCAATTTTATATTTTTGCTCGGGACTACAACACTAAGTCTATTTTAGAATAGTGATATTCACACCGAACACTTATAGTGAATTTTTATTAGTTATTTATCTAAATATAAGTAAGTGGATGATCATATTGCTTTATTTGTTACATAAATGACAAATTATAAACAATTAGTCTAACAATTCATACAAATAGTCGATACAAAAATCATTTTCCTTTATATATATATTCTTGCTCAAGAAAAATACAGAATACTCTCTCTCTCTATCATTTATGTTTCTCTTTACATTTTCCTCTCTTGCCATTCCCTCATTAGCTCATTTCTTTACTCTCTTCTAAAGCAATCCACCACTATTCTCTACTTTCCCTCATCTTCAATTTTCTCTCCAATTTTTCTCTGAAAAAAACTAAAGGGTAAAGTACACTAACACCCCCTGAGGTTTGACATAAGGACACTCAGATAAAAGTTATTTATTTTTGGGATAATGACACCCCTTAAAGATTGAAAAGTAGACAAAGACACCCCTTGAACTCAACTGCTATGAAAAATTGATCAAATTGCCCTTTGACTATTTAGTTGACCTTTTTAACTTTACAAATTAATAAATTGGACAAAACTACCCTTCTGAGACAGATGTATATATATATATATATATATATATATATATATATATATATATATAATAGGTTAATAAATTGGAAAACAGGTTAATAAATTGGAGAATAAAATTTATGCGTACCAACATTGACCCCCTTAAACAGATGAAGAGTATAGACTATATATATATATATACACATCCTGAAATAG